CCCACGGAGCACCCACGCGGAGGGAGACGGCAGCGCTCCGGGCGGGCAGCACGCTGCTGGGTACCAGCTGCGCTGCAAGCCCAGCAAAAGGCTGTAAGGAGAACAGGCAGAGGTCTGGCTATCCCGGCTGCCGGCCAGGATCAGCTCTGAGAGCAGCAACCCACCAGGAAAGATGGTGGCAGGACTGGGGAAAGGGCAGGCTGAGCCAGCGGGAGGGGTTCCTGGCTTGTAGGAGGGACGTGTCTGCCGTTTGTGCTCATTGGTGGCAGAAAAGGAAGATCCTCTGTCTCTTCTGCCCGCTCCAGTCTGGGGCCTGTCCTCCTGAACTGCTCTGTGCAGTTTCTGTACAGGGACCTGGCTAGGGGTATTCCGAATAGACGTAAAGACCAAAAAACGAGCAGGGGGAGGATGACAGGGTGGGCACCCACCCGACCTAACCCCTCCGAATCAGCTGCCCCAAAAACCATCAGAGGTGAACAGCGATGCCCTTTGCCCCTGGTGCTGAAGGCTCAACAGAAGAAACTCTCTCTGGGACACCATGCAACCAAGACAGCTATTGCATCAGAGGGGGTAGGGATTACTATGGGATGCCCAGGGGAATTCTGAGATCAAACAAGACAATTTGGGGAGTGCACAAACTTATTACGGGATGTTTTGGAGATTGGCCAAAGGAAGAGGAAGGGAGGAGTGGAGGTGGGTCAGGAAGGGAAACGGAGGGGGATAAAGGGTGCCAGCCGCCTGTAAGCGCTCCGCCGGTCAGTACACCTCTCTGGCTGAGCCCTGCACCTGATCACCTCAGCCTGTCCTGACTTCTTATTAAACTCCATGCCTAAGTATTTTCAGGGTAAGTTTGTTCTCTATTCCCTGTGGGCGCGTGTGGTCCTCTGGTGACCATCAAGCTGGACTAGCTGTTAAGTGAGAGGAAAGCTTGGGGAGGGGGCGTAGATACCAGACAGACCACGGGTCTGGTCGATAACGGGGAGACTCATGGGCTGGGGCCAGACACCAGTGGCCTGTGACAGGGCTTGCCCTGAGCATCGATGCTTAGCAGCAGGATCTGGCTGTTCGTGCCGTCTGTGGCTGTGAACACAGCACTCCCCCGTCTATCTGCGCTTGGCCACATGTGTACGGAGCGTGTTTGTGTGCACATGAGTGTGCACGTGCACCTACCGGGAATTCGCGCTCAGCCTTGCTATTGGTAGGACTGGGAAACAGGGGCGAGGATCAGCCTCTCATCTCGACCAGCCCAGGAGGGAGGGAATCCCCGTATCCTTCATCCCACCAGATTTGGCTGCCCTTAGGGCTGCAGTAGGTCGTTGTCCCTGTTCCCCCTTCCCAGCAGTGGTGTAACCTGGAGCGTACAGCAACGCCAGGCTCCCTGACGTTCCAGGTACCAGCTGAGGGGAAGGATGCTCATGGGGAGACTTACACCCCAGGAGGGATGCCTCACCCACAGATGGGTCCCTGAGGCTCAGCCAGCTGCACTCACCCGCATGTTGGGATCATCCAGAGAACGTCGTGCCCGCATGATTGCCTCCTCTGAGACTCGTGTGTCCCCGTTAGTCTGGATCTCCAGCACTGCCATCTGAGGAGGAAGGAGTGCGGCCATGTCTGCACGCGGCCAAGCCTTGGGTCAGTCCTTGAGGGCTTCCCAAAAGCACAGCCCCTGGCAGGGTGGCAGCTGTGGAGCTCCTCACCAGGACACCCAGCCCGGCCAGGCTCCGGATCTCCCGGGCTCCCCAGTGCTCCCTGGCTGCTGCGCCCCTGCCCTCGGGGCCCCTTTCTCGCCTACTGCAGTGCTCCGGGCTGCTGACAGGTTCCCGGCACGGCACAGCCCGGGGACAAAGCAGACAGCACCGACGGCCCCACAGTCTGCCCGGGCCAGCTGTGCTTGGCACTGCACAACCTCTTAGAGCAGCCCGGTCTGTCCCTGGCCCCCGCGCCCTCCCTTCCCAGGGCTATCGCAGCCCGAGGAGGAAGAGGAGGCACCAGTCGAGCACAGCAGAGGTGAGCTAAGCCTGTTGCTGCACCCAGGGCAGGGTGGGCCGTGGCAGCAGAAAATGTTCTGCTGACCCCAGCAGTGACGTCTCCATCGCTGCAAGGGATCCCCTGCTCACAGTGAGATTTGGAAAAGGGCAAGGGGACTCCTCGGGAAGCTCCCCAGGCCACCGCGATCCTCAGCAGGCTCAGCAAGAACAATCCTGCCGTGTAACCAGGGGTCACCGCAGGTTCCCCGGCCCTGCAGCCATCCTGCTCCGTACCTCCAGTGCACACATCCCGAAGGAGAAGATGTCCACAGCAGTCCCGTCAGCCTTTTCTGCAAAACCAAGCCAGAAGTACGTCAGGCCAGAGGT